TTAATTGTGCTACTTTTAAAGCAAGCAACGATGTTTTCAAATCTGTAATCAAAGAGGTCCGCAAAAACGCTATCGACCAATCAGATTGCTTGATTTGACTTGTCAGTTTTATAAATATATTTAAATTTCTTCCGTTACGAAACAAACTTACAAAGCATAAAATGGAAACATTTAAGATTAACTTCGACCTCCGGGGGGGGTCTTACTATAGTATGGAGGAGTGGATTGAGCAGTGCCTATCTCCAGAAAAAAAAGCACCTAAACTACGACATGCAGAGCTACGTGAAGAGCAGGTAGACCAACTGGAAAAGTACCACCATTCAAAAGCTTTCTGATGCGGGTCTTGAAACAAAGCAGAGAAATGATGACCGTTAGTGGCCACAGGTGCGAAAGCTCTCTCCAGAGCTACTGGAAGCCCAATCTCGGGGACCGGAGAAAGTGGAGCAATATTCTCGCCACGCCAAGCAACAGCCTCGAACAACCTCAACCTATACAAGTGACCAGGTAAGCCATGCTACTGATGCTGGACAGTTTTTCAGTGGATGCACAATAAACAGCAACCTACACATTAATGTAAATAAACAGCCAAATAATGGATCAACGCTCTCTGTCTAATATGTTCGCTTGCTGTTAGTGTTGTTGCATAGCAACCACCTTGCACTATGTTTTGTGCAGAAGGCAACGGAGGGACTATTTTATTTTGAACATCATTATTTACTAATAAAAACTATTTAAATTAGAGTGTGTATTTTTCTTTCATATTGCCACACTTGGTAACCGTTTTTATAAAAGCAATAGCTCACTTCAGGCCGTGATATATGCTCATTATATCACAGCTAAGGGGCGTGGTTCGGCCCGACGCGAATACCACGGCCTGTCGTGAGCTATTGCTTAAACATATTATAACTAAATTGTATTATGTTCATGTTTTGGAACCTTTGGTACTGTTCACGTTAAATTGACCAGTGACATCATTTGGTTTTAAAAATCTGAAGAAAAAGGAAAAACACTTACATACATGATAATTTACAAATATTGTGTTTATCTATATTAATTACCGAAAATACAGGTAACATTTATGATGATTTTTTTTGAAAATCCTCACACCGCTATATGACATTTAACAGTGACATTTTCTTTGTTTTTTTGTGATAAAGTTCTTACTTATGTGGGAAAGAACATCCATTACAGAAATGAAAGACTAAGGCTGCATATTACTGCTTATGTAGAAGAAAAGAAAACACGTTCTCTTAATTATCTTTGTAATTCTTAACTGATTTTCAATTGAATTATAAGTGTTAAAGATTATATAAATAACTGAAAAGTCACCGAAAGAGGTTTCTGTGATTTCAACACTATCACAGGTGTGTGTTCTTTGTGAAGTGTGTGATATTATACATGAACACACAGCGCTGCTCTCAGCGATACAGCTCCTCTCTCAACTTCAGCTCCTTCTCTCTGCTGTACTTGCCAAGATGATGGTTGTCATCCAAGATTTTTAGAGCTGAGAAAAATACATTTAAAATAGCAATTGTTGTGCACTTATGTTTAAGGGGTGGTAAAAGTGTAGACAGTCAAGTACAGTTTCACAGACCTGTTCCCTCTCTGAACAGGTGCACCCCGCTGTCAGCAATCCAGCGGTAAATGGGAAAGTTGTAGTCGTCTCCCTCCGGGGAACTCACCTCCACCTTGTTGGGAAACCAGGCGTCTTCTGGGAACAATGGGAGAGGTTTTTTATCGACCTCAATCAGCACCAGCTTTCCAAGAGAGGTGGGGCACGACACAGAGAATGTAGACACCTGCGAACAGAGCAAGAGAATATGAGAGAGGTGCAGTGAAGGACCAGTATCAAATGTAAATAAGATTTTGTAAAAATTAAATTTCTTTGCACCTTAAGGTGTACTTATGCAAATCAGGGTTGCTGCGCTCAATACAAGCACAGGTGCAATTTAGTGTGTACATTTGGCAAAGACGAACACTGCAAATAACATGAACGTTATTGCTTTTTTCGCCTGGTTGTGGTATTCATTTGGACAAATCTTAAATATAAATCACCATACAAACATATTGTATACATATCTGATTTTTGACAGTAAATTTTTTAACCAATGTTTCAATGTTGCATTATACTTTCCTTTGACAAAAGAGTATTTTCATTGTCGTAAATAGTGGATGTTCCCTGAACCTATGCAGGGAACATAATTTAGGATGATAAAACAATGAACAAATCAGACCCAAGATGGCAATTTTGTTTTAGCAGATTGACTGTAGATTCATTTGGAGATTAACAACATAATAAAGTGGAAAGAGGAAGAAATTGTTAACAGACTAATTTGAGGCTTTAATCTCAGAAATCCCATTTATTCATCACAAACTGTACTGACTGTAAATAAGATATTTTTCCAGTCTTTCAGTATTAATCTTTAAAAAAATACCGATACATTTAATAAAATAATACATTTGTGTGTGAGGTTGATTAACTTAACTGAGTAGGTGATTTATGATTTAATTAAGGTTCATTATCAACGCAGTGATATAATGACTCGTTTGTGTTAAAATATTAGCCTATAATGTACAGGTTAAAGAAAAACAATATATATAATGCACACTCACTGCTCCCAGGTAGAATTTGGCGGTCCCTCTGATGCTTTTGAGCCACGTGCGTTTCCTCTCTCCATCTGTGCCCACCAGCTTGATGAAGATATTGTTTGTCGTGGTGGCCTGTAAAAGACTTGAGGTGGTAACAGCCACTTCATACTTCACCATTTTGGATTAAACGAGAAGTTGGAACCTTGTTGAGAATAAAGAGAGAAAAAACAGAGTCAATAATGTTCATAATAATATGGAAAATACTATATTCAACAGCAAATACTAAGGTAAAATTAACACAAAAAATAGATTTTTGTCCAAATACTAGCAATTCAGATCCCCAACCTTCTTACCTTACAGTCACTTTTCAAAAAACTGTTGCCTTCCCTTTATATCCCTCTAAAATGACTCAACAAAAATGTTTACATCACTTTTACAAGATAAAATAAGATTAAGATACAGTAAGAGAAGAAAACATTTTTTGTTGCAGCAGCATGAAACAAAACAAGGCATTGCACATAATAACAAATTAAATTAGTAGAAATAAACAATTCTAAAATATATACATCTCAAAATATAAATAAAAATAAACCAGCAGTAGAGATTAAGACAAATATACAGATATTTGCTACCGTCGACAGACAAGCAAACCCCCCAGTATCAGTAGCCTCTGAATTTCTACCCACCAGGGCCTGCAATGAATTTGCCTCCTTATTCACTGACAACCTTCAGAAAATCAGAAAAGCAGTCAGTCCCTCTGTATTAGGTATAGCAAATGTTTTGTCCTTGTGTCTGTTGGGGAATAATTCTCATAGATATCCACCTTTTGCCCTTTGAGACCAACCTTGACGTCTGTTATCTCCCTTAAGGAAGGGGCTGCTTCAGCCATATGTTGTTGTTACCAGTTTATGACAGGGCAACTCTCGGTCACAAATGGTTTATTGTTGTGGGTACACTGGAACACTTCCTTCTTGGGGTTTGTGGACTCCAAGGTGTGAAATCTTCGAGGCCATAAGCGTCAGACGCAAGTAATTCAGTGTCCCCAGCTGTTTAGTCTATATCTCCCCAAGAATGTTGATTACTCTCTCGGAACTAGTTAAAAGGTCCATCGAGAGAGAGGCTCTTCAGAGTTGACGTGGCAACTCTACCGTGTAGTCAGACCTCTGACTCCTGACTTGTTTAGTGAATTCTCCGGCCGAAGCTCCTAAATAAACCATCAGTGTTTGACATCAAAGCTCCAGCTCTCCCCGTGTCTCCTTCCTGAGTCGGTGACTCCTCCTGCATTGCTACACAGAAGTTTCCCCCACAGTGTCCACTTAAAATCAATTCAAACACCATGACACAATTCCATCTGATTAATGATAAAGACCTAGAGGACATTATTCAACATCTGAAATCCTCCTCATGTTTTTCATTTCATGGCCTCAGATCTACTTCATATAGTAATCAAGTCTCTTCACTCAGGTGTTTTCCCAGAGGTCCTGAAAACTACAGTCATTAAACCGCTCTTAAAAAAGAATAATCTAGAAGCTTCAGCAATGAACAATAACAGGCCAATATCAAATCTCCCATTTCTTGGTAAAATCATTGAAAAAGTTGTTTTTCAACGGTTTCGATGTGTTCCAGTCAGGCTTTCGACCAAACCACAGCACTGAGACTGCTCTTGTTAAGGTCTTCAATGACATCCACTTAAGAATATATCTAGGATTAAAAGACTAATGTCACAGCAGGATTTGGAAAAACTTGTCCATGCTTTTATCTTCAGTAGACTCGACTACTGTAATGGTATCTTTACAGGTCTCACTAAAAAATCTATTAGAAAGCTGCAGCTAATTCAGAACGCCGCTGCTCGAGTCCTCACTGACACTAAGAAAGTGGATCACATCACTCCTGTTCTGAAGTCTTTACACTGGCTTCCTGTGTGTCAAAGAATTGATTTCAAAATACTGCTGCTGGTTTATAAAGCTTTGAATGGTTTAGGCCCAAAATACATTTCTGACCTCCTGCTAAATTATGAACCATCCAGATCTCTCAGGTCTTCAGGGACGGGTCAGCTTTCTGTCCCCAGAGTCAGAACTAAACATGGAAAAGCAGCGTTCAGTTATAATGCTCCAAATATCTGGAACAAACTCCCAGAAACCTGCAGGTCAGCTGCAAATCTGACTACTTTTAAATCCAGGCTGAAGACTTTTATTTTTGCCGCTGCTTCTAATTAAACTATTCATATCTTAAACTGCACTGTAACCTTTATTCATGTGTTTTTTCTATTAATGTTTATTTAATTGTCTTTGCTTTTTAATGACTGTTTTTAAATGCCATTTTGTTAATGTCTTTCATTTTTGTAAAGCACTTTGAATTGCCTTGTGTTGAAAGGTACTATATAAATAGATTAAAAAAAA